TGAAAAATAATTTCCCGACTGAGAAAATGCACGTGAACTTAAGTCGGAAAGCTCTAATAATACAAATCCAACAAATCTTTGTAGTAACACGAGTGTCCATGTTGTTTTCACATTCCAACTTAAAAGCACAACTCGGGAAATGAGAGCATCCAAGGAGTGTGTGAATGCAGTAATTAGACTTGCTCTGATGGCAGCAGGTAGCCTTCCGTTAACTAAGCTAAACCTGCTTAAATTAAAATGCCTAAAGCTAAACCACATGCTGTAATGAGCGCTGTGCCTGCCTGTGATGAGAAGTTTGTGAATAAAAAAATTAATATTAGTCGAATTTAAAATAAACATTTGCATTTGAATGTTAGGTGTCCATCAGGGAGCGTCATCAGTGGCGCGCGAGATGCAGAGATAATGATGTAAGCGAAGTTGTTGCATTTTAATGTTTTGTTAGTCTAGGCCACGTGACGCGCCGCTGCTGTGTTATGCATTCAAAATATTAGAGAAATATAGAAGCTCAATGCGGAGAAGATCTTGATTAGGTTAAAACCGAAACCAAGCCATTCACACAGAACGCATATTCAGCGCATTTCTTAGTCGGACAAATATGACTGCTGCACTCGCGTCTCACACAAGAGATGTATAGAAAGCCATGCAAAGTTAAAACAGTTTAAACTTTTATAAAACACGTCACGAATTTGTGGAGGTTTATTCCTTTTCACTGTGTCTCATATGTTTTAAATGCAATCTGTGTGAATGGTGCTTTGGCTCTTTGGATTAAAGGGGTCATATGATGCTATTTTAAAGATCATTATTTTGTGTATTTGGTGTAACAGAATATGTTGACATGCTTTAATGTTCAAAAAACACATACATTTTCAATTACATTATTGTAGGTCCTCTATGCCCCGCCTCTCTCAAACACATCGTTTTCAACAAAGCCCCCTCCTTTGACAAGCACAGTCTGCTCTGATTGGCCAGCTGAACCAGTGCATTGTGATTGGCCGAACACCACAAGCACGCATCGGAAATGTAACGCCCCTTACCATAAT